ATTATTTTGACATAATTTTTAAAGCTCATAAGTTGAAAATTATTTGTCAGAATCAACTCAAACTTGCCACATTGCATAAGTACATTAATGTGTATCAGAAAATGTAATAAAAATTGGGTGTAATTTCGGAGCCATTTTTTGGAAAAAATCATGGGCTATAAGCCTTTGCTAATTAAAAAAAACGGCTGTTTTTTAAAATGACCATAACTCGAAAATTTCTTATCGGAATTGAATGAAACTTTCTACATAGCATAAAGACATCAATATGTATCAGAAAATGTAATAAAAATTTGGGGTGATTTCGGAGCCATTTTTGAAAAAAACCATGGGCTATAGCCTTGGGTATTTTTCAAAAAACGGCCCGTTTTTTAAAATGAACATAACTCGAAAATTTCTTATCGGAATTGAATGAAACTTTCTACATAGCATAAGGACATCAATATGTATCGGAAAATGTAATAAAAATTTGGGGTGATTTCGGAGCCATTTTTTGGAAAAAACCATGGTGCTATGATATAAGCCTTTGCTAATTAAAAAAAAACGGCTGTTTTTTAAAATGAACATAACTCGAAAATTTCTTATCGGAATTGAATGAAACTTTCTACATAGCATAAGGACATCAATATGTATCAGAAAATGTAATAAAAATTTGGGGTGATTTCGGAGCCATTTTTTGGAAAAAACCATGGGCTATAGCCTTGGGTATTTTTCAAAAAACAGCCCGTTTTTTAAAATGACCATAACTCAAAAATTTTTTATCAGAATTGACTCAAACTTTCTACATAGCATAAGGACATCAATATGTATCAGAAAATGTAATAAAAATTTGGGGTGGTTTCGGAGCCATTTTTTGGATAACAATGGGCTATAGTCCATAATAATTATGTGCAAGTACAGTATGCATCTCTATGGCTGTTGTTGTGTAAAAAAAGCACACACATATGGCTGCATATGTGGATACTGTATTCAATCAGTCTTAGATGTTCTGGAAAGTAATATTTAATCATCATATATAACAAGTACAGAACTTAATGTCATCATCTTGAATACAGTAACACACAGTATGCTTATAATCACCAGTACAGACATATGTACAAGTAATACTAAAAAATGCAATGGGTATTGATAAGTACAAGAAAAATACATGTTCATGTAAATGTACTGTATACATGTAAGTAGTTTTTTTCAAGGGTTGCAAATTTCGTGAATTTTGCAGATTCCTTACTGATTTGTGAAAATAAAATCAGCAAAAATCAATTTAATAAGGTACCAACATGGCACATGTGGCAGAATTTGCAAAATTAAAATCCACAAATTGAAATTTTAGTAGATTTCGCGAAATATAATTCCTTTGAAATAAACCACTTATACGGTATTTTACTACAT